CCCCAGTGGAGGTGACCTGGATGCATGAGCAGGCTGCTCCCTGCCAGCTGGGGCTTCTTGAGCCTGGGCTGTGCACAATGTGAGAAGCCACTATGTGCTTCAGGGGTCTAGGATTTTTTTTTTTTTTTTGAGACAGAGCCTTAAGCTGTTCCCCTGGGTAGAGTGCCGTGGCATCACAGCTCACAGCAACCTCCAACTCCTGGGCTCAAGCGGGTCTCCTGCCTCAGCCTCCCAAGTAGCTGGGATCACAGGTGCTTGCCACAACGCCCGGCTATTTTTTGGTTGCAGCCATAGTTGTTTGGTGGGCCCGGGCTGGATTCAAACCTGCCACCATAGGTGTATGTGGCTGGCGCCTTAGCCACTTAAGCCACAGGTACCAAGCCAGAAAAGGGAATTCTTGATGATAAAGTCAGAACTGTGATCTTTTTAATACCCTTATTCTATATATGGGAAAATCAGGGCCCAGGGAAAAAAACTTGAGTTTCCCAAGCATGTACCTTAAGTCATTGGCAGAGCTAGGAATAGGACTCGGGCGCCTTTGCTCCCAGACAGCATGCTATTACCACTTTCCTTAGCTGACAATTATCCTGGTCTTACTCCCATCAGACTGCTCAGAACTGAAGGCAGCAGTAAGTAGAATATGTTTTTTAGGTTTGGCTCAACTTGTTTGGCAGATGGCAGGCTGACTCCATTAGTGAGGACATGCAGTTCCTCTTTAACCTGTAGCTGCCAGCCTGCCTTCTCTGCCTTTTCTTGGAGGTAGGCCAGCCCAGGCCAGGTGCCACCCTCCCACACACCCCGCAACCCATGAGCAGAGCAAGTTGGCTACAAAGTGAAGAGCAAGGCCATTGGCCCTCAGGAAACTCTCAGGTCAAGAGAACTTGTGATGAGGGTACCGTTTCTAGCTTGTCTATCAGGTATCTGACTCAAAAGACTCAGCTTACTGTCATACCTGACTTCATGAAATTTGGGGCAGGCTAGGAGAGGGGACTTACTAGGATCTGTATTTTGGCTAAGCGGAAAGGAGTCAAGCAAACAGGTTAGTCCAAGAGGTTCAGCTAAGGTAGAGAGAAGCAGAGATAAACAAAGGCCAAGTATAGGTGGTCAGGAATATACTTAGAATCCTAAGTCAAAGTTTGGGCATCCAAGGGTCTCAGCAAGAAGTCACAAGCAGAAAGCAGCACAGCTACAGCAAAACTGGAGTTTGGTACTGCTAAGTGTTGGCCCTGCCCTAAGAGTCTGGTGAGGGACTGGACCTATCTTTGACAACTGAAAATATCTTAGCTGACAGCTAAACAGTTCTCTGGCATAAGCTTTTCCCTGAGTCCTCAAGCCCCTGCTTCTTTAAGAAACACATGGATAAACAGAGAAGAAGCCAGGTAAGCCCTAGTGATCCCATTAATACTGTGAGACCAAATGTGGCCCTGTATCTATCACAGAAATGCTGAGAGGACCCAAGAGATAATGCCTTGTTTATCGTTGGCTCTGTGAGTTTCTGTAGCATTTCATTTAGCTGCTCTAGTGTTTCATGCAAAATCCACACTCTATTATATCCTTTGCAATCCAGTAATAGAGCCATTAGTTCCCAACCCCTTGCATTGTTCTTTATAAAATATTCATCAATATTCCCACCTGTTTATTTTTACAGAAAGATTTTAGAATAATTATATCAAGTCCTATGAAAAAGTCCTCTTGGGGTTTTGAGATGATTTTAAATCTAAACTTTAATTTTTGCACTGAAAATGGACACCATTATAATTGTTCATGTACCCATTGGAGAAAGGGCAGAGACATCTCTAGTTTTTCAAGTTTTCTATTTTTAGGAAATGTGTTATAGCCTCAAGTTTCTAGACCTGAGGCTGTTCTTAGCTGAGGGAACATCTGCTCTTTCAGGGAAGTTGTATTCTTGTTCTCATTTCTGAAGGGGGTGGAACAAGGAAGGACAAATTCTGTAACAACCTTGGGCCACCTGTGCTCTTTCCCCAGTGCTTTAGTGCTACTGATTGCCCAAGAGAAGGAAAGGAATATATTTGACCAGCGTGCCATAGAGAATGAGCTACTGGCCAGGTAAGTTAAAGAAGAGGGACCTCTAGGTATGATCCCGGGATTGGAGAAGGTCACTCAGAACATAGCATTCCCTCCCTCTACCCATCTTTCCCAGGAACATCCACATGATCCGGCGAAGGTTTGAAGATGTCTCTGCAAAGGGGTCTCTGGACCAAGATCGAAGGCTGTTTCTGTAAGCATTCCCAACAACCCAATAGAAGGCTGGTTTATAAAACTCATCTTACGGCTGGGTGCAGTGGCTCATGCCTATAATCCTAGTACTCTGGGAGGCTGAGGCAGGTGGATTGCTTGAGCTCACAAGTTTGAGACCAGCCTGAGCGAGACTCCCATCTCTACTAAAAATAAAAAAAACTGATGTGGCTTGGCACCTGTGGCTCAAGCGGCTAAGGCGCCAGCCACATACACCTAAGGTGGCGGGTTCGAATCCCCA